GCTGTGGTCCGATGCAACCTGGGCCTGAGTTCGGCCTTGCTATCATAATCCACAACCAAGCATGCAGCTCTGCATGCAGCTCGCAGACCCAGCCGACGCGCGACATGTGAGGCGGGCTAAACCCCGACTCCATCAGCACGCCCAGGACCCGTCCCCGTTGGAGGTCCGCAACAAGAGAGGCAGTCACCACGGCATCAGAACGATCGCACGCATACATCCTATCTTGAAACCCGATGGCCGCAGCGCCCCCCCAATCTGCTGACTGCGCGGCCCCCAGACTGATACCCGACGAGACTTCGCGCCAAGGTTCATCGGGGCACGGGCGCGGCGCGACCATCCAAAAGTATCTCCACGAGCCGATCCTCGCACTGTCTGGCATGAGCTTTGAAATTGGCGCTCAGCCTCTCCCAGGTCTTCCTCGGCAGCGCGTGCTTCTCGTGGCGCTGGAGACTCTCGTCGTTCTTCCAGCCCCCGCGACGCTTGATGGGGGCCATGTCGCGCGCCCCCTTTCAGCCGGTCGAAGGGCGCGCCCGAGCGCCTCGCCTGGCAGGGCGCCGCGTCGAACTTGAGGGAGCGGGCGAGCTCGGGATAGCTGAACCGCCAGAGGGGCCCCCCAGCGGTCCTCGACTTCAAAGCGTCCAGCAGCGGGCGCAGCAACTTCCAGAAAGAATGGTCCAGCCTGCAGCTCTGGTCGAACTCGCTCAAAATTGTTGATGGGGTTCTGGGTGGCCCCTCAGCTCCCTGTCGCAGCGCTCGGGGCTACGAGGTCGTCGGGCCGCATCGCGAGCAGGCTCCCAGGCCGGCAGATGGCACTTCACGTCACCAGCACCGCGAGCCCCATCTCGAGCTTCCCGTCCTGCACCAGCTCGTTCACTATGGCTGCCCACGCTCCGAACGCCTGCGAAACCCGAGCACGCGGCGGCACCACGTTGGCCAAACCAGTGAGAGCGCGCCAGCTCCGCGGCAAGCCCCGCCCCCCCACCGTGCCGAGCTGAGGCCGCGGGTGGAGGACCGAGGCGAGGACCTTCATCCCCCTGGAGAAGGCTTCGCCCCAGAGCTCATCGAAGTACATGACCATCAGCGCGTCCAGGCCGTCGGCTGCGACGTCCTGCACCTTCTCCACCTCGGCCCACTTCGCGAACGACTTAAGCTCCCTCGCGTAGGACTTCTCGGCGCGCGCCCGCGCGGCACGCTGCTCCAGCACACTCAGCCCGTGCAGCTGCTTCTCTCTCTCGACCACCTCATAACAGCCGCCTCTCGAGCCGCCGCTTGCCGCGTCGCTCAAGCTTCCGGGCGCGCTTGGCACGCTCGGCCTGCACCTCGGACTCGCTCGAAGTGGAGCCCGACGGTGCAGCGCGCTTCTGGCCCGACGCGTCGGCGCCGCGCCTTGGGACGCCGCGGAGCTCCGCCGCTTGATCCACGAGCGACGGCGCTCACTGCGCAGACCGAGCCCCGGCCAGCATGACCCCTCGGCCACCTCGATGTCTCGCAAGACCGCGGATCTTCACCACGGGCGCCGTCACGCGCTTGCGCGGTAGCGTCCGCACCGCTCTGGCCACGGCAGTCTCCGAGTCACTGGGGCGGCCGCCGCCGCGCGCGCCAGCGTGCGAACCCTCCGCGGCTGGGCGGCCGTCTCCATCGCACGCAGAGATCGGACCACACCTGGCGAGGAACTCTGAGAGTCGCATGGTACGCGTCATCGAACTTACAGGCCAAGCTTGAGCCAAAACTTCTACGGGCGGATGACGAGACGGAAGCGCCTCTTTATCTTCGGCACCACCCAACGCTGGCAAGAGCTCCGCGAGCCCCAAGGCCCCGGGACCTTCGGGGGCCTCGATTCTCGGCTGGATGAATTCGGCGAACTTCAAAACACGTCGATGGGGTGCGATATGAGAATTGGGTTCGGGGCCCCCATCCACCTCCACGTCATTTGTTGGACGCGGGGTTCTCAGCAAAAACTACCCGCGACGCCCATCCCCAGGCAGTTCGGGGGGCGTGGGCAACACAACCCTCACACGGGCTAACCAGCGGCCCTTTCACGGTCCCCTGGTACGGCGGCGCGCAAGACAAACGAGAAGGCCAGTCCGCAACATTTCGCTCCGATGATATCCACCACATCGTGAGACGAACGTTCCTGGCGAGGCAAGGACACGCAGGCTTCCTAATAATCAAAAGTAGCTTATAATTTCTAGCGCGGTAGTTAAGTACCTGTCACATCCGAGGACGAGGGCGAGGTTATCGCATAACAGTGGCTGTCTCAAGCTGCGCCCAGGCCGAGAGAAGATGATGCGTTCAGCACCGACCAGAAGAGCGCGAGCCTCAAGGATAATGATGATTTCCTCAAAGCTAAAGGGCCACCCCCACAAACGCGCCAGGCGGTCTCGTCCAAATCGCTGGCCGAAATTTCTTCGAACTCGGCTGAGGCCTCGAGCCCCCGGGCGCCGACTGCCCCCAAGGTCTCCAGAATGTCTCGACGTAAAGGGGCACGGCTTTTGAACGG